ACTGGGGTGTGCTGATGGGGCGGGGATTGATCCCTCCTCCCCTTGAGCCTGTTTGACTCTGCGTGCTGATGGGACTGTATTTGTATGAGTATTACGAACACACAGACGAGTGTTACGGTTAATGACAGTTTCCCCCCCATTTTCATATTTATCTTTATTATCGTTTCCAATAAATTCATTAATAGTTCGCATATTGTCATTGCCCAGTTTATCGTACAGTGTCATCCTATATATATATGTATTCCATTCATTTAAAAGAACCAAAATAAATAATGAGTATTGAAGAAAGTCAATGTTCTATCTAATTAACTACTCGTCTCCATTCATCCCCTGCTCATCCTGTCCATCCAAAACCCTTAACCCCTGACAAGGAATGCACTTCGAACCCTTATAGCGAGCTTTTGAGCGAGCTATCAGGGTTCCAAGTGCATTCCTTGTATACACAACAATGGCTTGTGTGTGTCTGTGTGTATGTTGCGCAGCATGCCTGTGTTGAAGGGCGCCACTGGGGCTGCTGATGAGCGTCGCGTGCAATTGTGCCTCGTGTCATGTGTCTGGATAGCTGCCATGGATACGATGACTGACCGGCAGCCGGAGGCCCCGTCGACAGTGCCATCGGCAACCCTTGAGATGATGCAGAATGCGATGGTCGACATGCGCCGCTCGATGGACAGCGAGAGGGCCACACTCAACAAACGAATCAGCGAATTGGAGCGCCGATGTGAGCAGGTAGACAAATGCGCGCCAGCCCGCCAGGCAGCAGCCACGGATACGCGGTCAGACATGCACGGGTGTGTGTGTTTATCTGTGTGAGTAGGCGGAGGCGAAGTCTGCTGCGGATCAGGCCGCCCATAGCCGCGTGCTTCACACCGTTATGTACGAGGGCGGCCTGTATCACGGCACACTCCGCCGGGTTGCTGCGGTCACTGGATGGTGAAAAGAAGCGACACGATCCAGTGGCCGCATCAGACTCGGCAAGATGGTACGCGATGAGGTCGAGCACTGGTTATCACACGCCCCATCGCTGAGGCCTCCATACATGTACATACAGACATATGTCATGCCCTAATATATATGCGGATGTATGACATATGACATATGGAGCACTGACCGGAGGCCGATGGAGGGCCGAGTGCGAATCGAGTAGGCAGATCGAATGAGACGTCCAATTGATCGAACTCGCACGCATTCGTTCATTCAATCATCTCATGCCGTTCATGCGATGTCCCTTCACTTAGACGGACGCGACGAGCACCACACAGTCCACACGCGACCAACCAGCCCTTACACCGAAAGTCACTTCGACTACACTCATTGATCACATCCACGTATGTCAGTCACACGCAAGCGACACCTTGATCTGAATAGAGAGATAGGCCGGAAAAGTCGTACCTTTCCCGCACACAATCGATCGAATCACACATAGTGGCCTCTCATGCACCCAAACACGGTCATTCCACCGAAGACCCACATGTAAGGAAACACTGAAGTGCCGAACACGATCCAGAACTTCTTCTGCCCGACACTGTAGTACTGGCCGATGCTCAACACCGCCATGCAGATGAGCGGCGCCGCCCCACATATCATCGCCTCAGTGGACACCGTCTGGCCGGCCGTCGCGATGTACTCCCTCCCTCCCAGTGCCGACCTCAACATCAGCGCAACCGCGATAAGCCACGCCGCCAGCAGGCGCCCCAAAGCAGGATAAGGGCGAGAAAGGACAATGTCCGGGTAGCGATACAAGTAGAGGATGCTGCTCATCTCAGTTATGATGATGGCGTGGCCTAGCATATAGCCGTTGACAGAGACGGGGGAAGAGGGAAAGCCCCGCCAGCCCAGCAGGCTGACCGCGGCAGACATCCGCTTGTGGAAGGACCACCAACAGGCCACGAAGAGACCAGCGGCGCTGACAGACAGCAGCACCCATGTGACGATAGAGGGTGGAATCACAACAAGCAGCACGGGCAGCAGAAACCACAGCTGATGCGACGAGATCAGAGCCCAGAAGTCGGGGCTGGTGAACTGCGCAGACACAGACAGCACAGCACGTGCTTGTTTGTCAGGACTCAGTTGTTGCCACACTACCCCTTTGAGCTTCGGTCGGCGCACTCCGTAGTCATCCCCCGTTGCAGCGATGAGCACGTACGGCCCAACACCTGCGTTCCCAGGCGGCCCCGTTTGGTCAGCCGGCTGAGCCATCTGGACAGCGGCTCCGGGATCTGGCTGCTTGACGTCAACGATCCAATCCCGCGGTTGTTCCGAGCGAGGAGCCATCAATCATAGACGCGCTGCGTTCGCTGATGGCGGCAACCGGTTGCTCTGTTGAAGATCTGATGCGCCAGGCTCTCCCTTCTTGGGGAGCTGCGAGCTGGAAAGCGCGTTACACGGAGGGGTCAGTGTGAATGGCACAGGAAAGGAGGGAGAAGAACACAATCCCTTCCGGTTTCACGCATTTCCTAAACATTCGCCTTTACTGTTTTACGGACACGCCTGCCCGAAGGGCAGGCAAGCAGCCCACTCCCTTCAAAAGCACTCTTCATCCGCACATCTTCCCTTCCTGCCTTCTCATCCTCTACTTCGACTTGACGGCTTCGTCTGTCATCTCCTGCCTGTTTCGCTGCACCCAAGAGCGTCAGCCACTGTCGATTGGCCGTCATCATCATGGCTGTCTTCTCGCGTCTGACGCTGCTGGTGCTCGCCTCTGTGCTGGTGGGGAGCATGGCCAAGGAGTGCGTGACGGACTCCGACTGCCCGTCTGGCGAGGTCTGCTGGGTGGCTGATGATGATACCAGGTCGTGCAAGACGGAGGGGATAGATCTCCCAGGTAGGAGTTGGCAACTCACCGCCGGCTGACCGGACAGACAATTACTGGCCGTCAGTCAGTCATCCCCATTCCTCCCTTATTTTCTGTGTGGTGTATCAGGGTGGTTAATTGCCATCATAGTGCTGGTAATTGTTCTTCCGATTTGTGGCGTTGTTGCGTTGATTATTGCGTGTTGCACATGTTGCGCGGCGCGGAAGCCCGCGCCAAGAGTGGTGATGATACAGTCAAGGCCAATGTGAGACACCAAAACGAATAAACAGGGCGCACTGCAGCACGCATCCATCAACGTGTGTCGCCATCGACTGTGTCGTTCGCTGGTGTGTGTCTGTTGTTTTCAGGTACGTGCCCTCTCAGCCAGCTCCAATTCCCGCCTGTGTGTAGGCCCGGCTACCACTGCAAGCGCGGCAAATGTAAGTGAGGCAGCTTACGCAGGCAGACAGACAGGCACACATACGTGCCCATCTTCAATTCACGCGCCTCCATCGATGTCATGTATGCCACCCTCAAACTTCTCCAGACTGCACCCGACTGCCTGCCTGCCTGCCTGCTTGCCTGTCCAGCTGTAATTTGTGCTGTCCGTCACTGGTTTTTCATCACGTGTGTCGATAGATAGGTATTGATGAGTGTACGTGTGTCTGTTGAGACTGCCTGCTGTGTGTGTGCGTGTATGTGTGATGCGTCTGCATTGGATAAATAGTCGACTGGCGTGTTGCTTGCCCTTTGCCTGTCAGTGCACTGTGTACGTTGTGTTGTGTGTGACTCTTCCAGCGGAGAGGGACGTAAACAGTGAGTCTCTCTTCAGTGAATCGTCGACATTGACGCGAACACATTAATGAATGTGGCGGTGTACGAGTGTGGGGGTGTCGGTTGGTCGCCCTGGCCGTTGAATAGAATGACGTCGATGAACGGTAGTGTGACGGCCAACCGACAAGCGAGAACGTCTATCTGTCTGTCTCTCTGCCTCTCCACATCGAAGTGTTACTGGTCTGGCGCCAGACTGCTGGTGCCCCTATGTGTGGATTGGTGTGTTTGTTTAACACCCTGCGCGTGCGTATGTCGTCGGCGAACAGGGCCTGCCTACTTCGTAAGTACTTTTTCTGTCTGACCTGTCTGCCTGCCTTGGCTTGATCTAGTGAATGACACTGTGTATTCATTTCGGGAGATACACGAATAGTCGGTCGGTTGGTTGTTGTCAAAAGGGTCTTGGGTCTTAGTACAATACTATCAATTTGTGTCCGGAAGAGAAATTCACTATGTATACATCGTTGACACTGACATGTAGTGTGTACTCGCCCTCCCCGTCTGAGTGAATGGAATGACAGACATCAAATGAACGAAATTCGGTCGATAATCAATTGGATGTCTCATTCCGCCCACTTCCGTCACCCATGTCGTACCGCGTCACGTCACAGTACCCACACAGTGCCGGGCAGTCAATGAATGAGAGTGAGTAATTTCTGTGTGTGTGAGTACGTACGTACGTACGCGCGCTTGTTTGCACGTGACTTTGCACTTGACACAAATTAATGGCGTCGTATCGTTGTCCGGTCCTTGCTTGATATCGACAAATGAAAATGTGCACATGAGTGCCGCAGCGGCAGTCGCCTGACTAGCTAGTCAGTCACCTCTCTTTAAGTAGCGAATCAGTCGGTCAGGCCACACCACCCACACACAGCCACACAAACACTCAGCCCATTCGCAGACACTATTCACATAGAGGAGCGAACACACCACACACCAGGCAGGCTCCCACCCACCACGGCTAGATGCCACACGCGCCATGAAACTATTCACCAATCACGAGACTAACCCAACATGCAAGAAACGGTCACACACACGAAATGAGGGCATCAGTGAAGACAGACAGACAGACAGACTCACAGTGACAGAGAGAGACGCTACTAGCGTCTTTGTGTGGATGGTTCTCTCTTTGTACACAGACAGCCACAGGAACACACGAACACTCACATGAACTTTCCAACAGCACAACAGTCAGTCACTCACACACCGATGGGGGACAGAGCAGTGCCCCAGGGGTCAATGTGTCTACTCACGATGTAGGCCGCAGTGGCCACCGCTGCAGCCACGGGAGACGCAGCAGACGGGCTTGGAGTTGATCCACTGCAGGTCTCCCCTGTTGCAGTGGTACATGACGGGAGCGTGGTCGCACCTGATGCACGTCTCCTCCGCTGGCCCGACACCCAACACCGGCGGCAGCTCGGCGCCGCGCTTGAACTCAAAGCCATCCGGACACGAGTGACTGATCGACACACACACACACACACGTGGGGACGGTGGATGGACAGGTGAGCCGTGCTGCGTTGCTTACAGTCTCTCTGCGTAGTGCTTGAGGACGCACTTGGCGTCACATATTTTGAAGCCGAGAGGGCATGTGAAGTCCACCGGGTGGCTGTGGAACATCTTGCACTGCTGGGTGTCCTCGTCCATTGTGCCGTCAGGGCAATAGGGCTTGACCGGGCAATACACGATCCTCCCAGAGTACTCGCACTTGCTGAAGCACCTGCTGCCGTCCTCCGTCAGCCGATAGCCCGGGGGGCAGGAATTCGCGGGAGGGACCGTCACCGTCACCAGGCATGTCTCGCTAAGAAGAGTCGCGTCCTGGTACTCGGCTCTGCAGTATTTAATGAGGTCAGCGTACTGGTTCTTGGCGCACATATCGCCCTCCACCGCGTAACCCTGACACACGCACACAGACAGACAGGCAGAGAGACCGATGAGCCACAACGTCAACTCTTCTCTCTCTCTGTGTGTGTGTGTGTATACCTGATCAGCGCAGTAGTAGTGTGGCACGTGGCGAAACGGCTTGAGGCACTTGTTCGCCGCCTGGTCATACATAAAGCCGGGGGGGCAGTGAGGGTGAGCCTCCTCGCGAATCCGACACTGGTTCGCAGCTGCGAGGGGCACACAAGCCGCCAGAAGAGCCAGACAACACGCGACCGCACCACACTTCATCATCATCACCATCTGGTCGTTAGAGGACAGAAACAAGGGGACAGAAAGATCTGAGCTGCGTGTACGAAGGGAAAGATCTACGTAAGGCAAAGATCTGCGGTTTGTAGGAAGAATGCCGATGCTGACAGAGGAATGCTGCCCTCTCTCCCTCCTCTCTCCCTCTCTTTCATCCCTCCCTCCCCCCCCTCCCTCCCATCTCCCTCGCCCTAAAGCTCGCGTGTAACGCTCTGTGGCAAACCCTAGACCCTAGACCCTTTTGATTGTTGGTGCATCGGAATGTATACACACAGTGTCATTCACTAGATCAAGCCAAGGCAGGCAGACAGGTTAGACAGAAAAAATACGCATGAAGTAGGCAGGTTGAGTGGAGAAAACAGCCCACTCAAACCTCCCCCAAACAAATGGCGGCTTTCAAGGCCTCTCTTGCCCTCATCTTGACTGCATTCAACACTGCTCAAGGCCAGAATCACCACGACAAGCATGCCTTCCACTCGCCAGAGCTCTACGACTACATCGTGGTCGGAGGAGGGGCTGCCGGAATGCCTAGACACGCAGCGGATGAGCACACTGTATGTCTGCGTGTGTGTATGTATGGTATGCATGCAGCTTTCACACTCGCTGAGGACGGCGATACTGATGTGCTCGTGCTCGAACGGGGCGGAAGAAGAGAAGAAAATTGGGAGGCAACAATAATCGGGGGCTGGGGTAAGGAGGCTTCTGTTGGATGTCCTGTAGCTCACCTTGGTGATCGACAGGGATTGGCCTTCTGTACCACGATATCACTGAAGAAGTGTAGGTCGAAAGGGAGGATCAAGGCAGGAGGAGGGTCAATCTTCGCTTGTTTTCTTCAGCATCACAATGGAAGGCGTCGTGTCTCACCTTGGCAGAGTCATGAGCGGCGGCACTGCTCTGGTGACCAGAAAAGAACAAAACCATGGCTGCACCATCTCCAAATATGTGGTCATCAGTCAGCAGGCATCTATATCGAAGAGGAACCAAAATATTTTGACGCCCTAAGAAGCGAAGGGGCGGACTTTGATCAAAGACTGGTTGATGACGTAAGCGAGACACACTGAAGTGAGACGTCTGCATTCCTTTCGACAGAAGTGCATTGCACTTGTGCTGCGTATGCTCCTTTAGGCGTATGAATGGGTGAGAGAACAAGTGGCGACGCCAATGGACTTCGCTGAGCCGTTCGTAATCAACTAAGGCAGCCATATCAATTCCACATGTACACTTGTGTCTCAGGTATGGCAGCGCATGGGCAAAATCCAACGAAGAGGTGGGCTATTCCCCTCTGGTTGGCACGAGGTGAATAGCCCACCTCTCATTGTTCCTGAATGATGACGGCGTCATGGCGCCAACAAGAGAGCGGCTGGCATCTGATGTCTTGGCTCAGGGGATGCTTTCCAAACGCAAGGACGTCCCGCGTGGCTTGGAGATCAAGACGCGCGCCACAGTCATCCGAGTGGAGTTCGACACCAATCGCAAGGGCAAGCCGCGCGCCACGTGCGTGCAATTCGTCAAGTCTCCCAAAGAAGCGAAGAGCATCGACTCGAGAGTCAGCAACCTCTTGCTCGTGCTCGAGGACAAGAACGACGAAACAGAGGAGAAAGCAGAACACGGGCAAGAGGTGATGCGAGCGTGCATCCGTCCTGGCGGTGAGAATTTTTTGAGTGCCGGTGCCGTTAATACGCCGGTCGTGCTGATGAAGTCGGGCGTTGGGCCGAGGGATGCCGTTGAGAACGCGACGAAAGCCATCCCTCGGGCGCTGAGGGGGGAGAACGACGGGATGGTGCTTGAGATACCTGGGCTGGGTAAGAACCTTCATGACAGAAACTGGGTAGCAACACACAACGAGGGAACAATCGGTCTCTGTCCTTGTTATACGATTTAGACGCCTCTGGCGACCTTCTTTGACGCACCGCTACCAGAATCCGATGGCCTCAAAGTCACAATGGCGCAGGTTGCAGGCGCGAAGCGTGTGGGCGAAGGCTGCTCGGGCAGCTCTGGGAAAAGGCTCGATTACAAGTGAGTATATCAAGGCTGCTGAAAGCGGGAACATATCAATGCGCAATGCCTGTGAATGAATGCAGCATCTTCGATTCGAGCCCTGATTGCGGATGGGTGACCAGTCAGGAGTTTACCGGCGGGAGAAGTGTGGAAGGGTTGCTCAGCTCAACGCGACTCATCCTGCCCCCAAAAATGAGATCGTCGCCGTACGAAAATGACGACAATCACGATAGATTCTAGAATAGACACCCGCACTGTCTTTGTATGTTTCTGCTCCTTGGTGTAGTGAAGCCGACTTTCTCATGCGACTCCTACACGAGTGCTCGAGTAGACCTTATGAAGCCCTGTATGTCTGCCGCTGATTCCCTCCATCACCTGCGTCAAGTACACATATGCTCACGCCAATGCCTTTTTTCAATCGTGTCTCCATTAGGAAGCTGATCGCAATGATTGCTTTCCCTTCTCTGCCCAAGGGCCGAGGCTATGTCACAATCAACGAAAAGGGTCAGGACAATTCGCCTGTGTTGCGTCTCGAAAGCTTACTTGCCTATCTGCAGGTGAGCCGATAGTGTCGGGCGGTTATTACAATGACCCCGGCGGAGAGGACCTGCATGTTGCTGTGGAGGGTTTAAAGAAGATGATCCGGGTGAATACTAAAGAGAGAAACATACAGAAAGCGATGTCATGCTGATCAGGCACACTCATCCACCTCTTGTTTAGTCAATTTGTCGATAGATGGTTGGAACCGGCAACTTCGACGGCATTCTAGAGAAAAACGGACCGCTAGCTTGTCCATTCCTAATATTTAATTCCTTCCTCAGCCTGCTCCTCATTGGCGCGCGAAACGTTCCTGGGGCCAATTCGGATGAACTCCTGGTATGCATTGCGTATCAGACGAGCGGATGCAAGCAAGGAGTCTCATATACGACATCTGTCCGTTTTCACTTAAAAGGACTTGGCAGCCGTAATAAGATCAGTTCAGCCTGATTACCCCGCCCATGCGCCGTCCATGTGGGAGTTTCTGGGCGACGCCTCAGCGGACAAGCGGCGTGCCTTGGAAGAGGCGCCTCTGCAGGATCTGGTAAAGCAGCAGCTGGATTTGGTGCGGCAGCTACGATCGGACGGACTCGATGAGTGGCGAGGTGTGCAGTTGGAGCTGGGCAGGTTCCTCACTGGGGGCTTGAAATCCATCGCGGACCTGCTCTCGGCACCGGTGGGGAGGCAGCTGATATAAGATAATAGCGAATTGTTCATTGACCCGTGATGAACGATGATGTATGCAGGGTGATGACTAAGTAGAGGGCGACGTTGGCTGTGGGGTCTGGCAACCGTGCACTGAGGAATATCTGGAGGAGGTACAGTTGCGGAGGGCTTTTCGATACGCCATGTTCCCACCGCTTCCGATCGGTACGCGATCAAGCGAGACACAACATAACGCAGATCTCTCTTGTTCGTTCTGCACGTGTGTGTTTCAACTTGTGTATGCGTGCTAGACATGAGTCGCAGTCTCGAGACATATGTCAAGGCACATAGCAGCAGTATCTGGCATTTCACGGGGTGAGTAAGACATCTACCTGCCTGTCTGCATGTGTGTATGCCCCTTCTCTCTCTGTTATCCACCGTGCCTGTCAGTTCGGCACCTATGGGCACTGTTGTTGACAACGATTTCCGAGTCCGTGGCATTGACAACCTCGCAATATGCGACGCATCCGTCCTGCCGCAGGTCTCCACTCTTGAGACGGATAGGATGATGGTTGGATGAGAACTTACCGTTATATTTTGCAGGTCACCCGCGGTAATCCCCAGGCATCAATCATGATGCTGGGGCGATATACTGGGATGCTGCGGAAGCAAGAGCGTAAAAGGAAACAACACTTTGGCCTTTGAGAGAGGGAGATACATGATGGCGGTTTTTGTTCTAGTACTGCAGTCATGACCTGCTATATTATGCTAGAGAGCTGTTCATTCATCGTTTTGAGCTGATTAAGCTAGGAGCTTGGATTTTGTGTGTGTGCATTGCTTTGAGGGAATCGCCTTCGTCTTATTGTGAATTGAACAGAAGGGTCTTGCCATTCGTAATCAAGGCCAGTCAGAGACATGATGGCTTTGGTGGATTGACAATGAAGTGGCTTCTGTCTCGCGGCATTTTGCATGTATCACACAAACTGATTCTTTTCAATTTGAATTCCCGTGCCGGCGGCGGAACAGATGTGCTGAGTGGCTCTTCTCGAAATAACGCGCTCTTCCTGATCCTGCATGCAGCCAGCCAGCGGTGCAGATGATTCATAAGCTGACTATCCTTGACTGAGAGCATGGTAGATGGCTGAGGGGGGATCGGTCGGACCAATCCAGAATGCCGCCCGCCCAGCTGCCTCACATGCCTCAGGTCAACATCATGGCAGACGCCGATTTCACACTCGATGTTGATCTGTCGCGCATGCTTTGGTGCCAGGGATGGGACAGGACAGACGACAAACCGTACAAGGCATATTTGTGCATGTGTGTACATGTCTGATTGTGTTCATCTGTTTGTCCACGGAAACACTCGTGTCTCTGATTGTGTTTGCATCTTGATACGTCAAGTCGAGAGGAAGTCAAGTGACATACAGATATGAACCGAAATCAAGACGACCGAGACGAGACGTTTGTTACATGCCATTCAGCAAGACTCGCATGTTGGCCAAGAGCCACATTCGGATCCTTCGTCCATCACACACACAGATATACATACACGCGACAGAACAGCAAGGGCAGGCAGTCGGACAGGTCACAGCAGGCAAGGGCAGCACCGCTTCGAGTCCCTCCCTCCCTGCCGTGTCTCTGACTGTCCCGCTCTGTCCTTCCCTGCCAACCATAATTAGGATGAGATACATGTACGCACTTACGCACACGAGCACATTACACGTACCACCACTATTGATTGATTCACGCAGGTCAGCCACCGCACAAACAGGTCATGGCTCGAAGGACGGGTAACCCCCCACTCACTCATGCGAATGAACAGTGGACAGGCAGGAGCGACGGTACTCAAAAGAACACACACACACACACAAACACAAACACACACAAACATGGATCTACTTCAACAAACGACAAACAGACCAACCATATCAACATGGCCACCCGAGCAAGCAGTGAAGGCTATCCGAAGTAACAAGCACATTGCAGCAGATGAGATCAGTGAGCCACGAGACGCACGTATGGTCGATCAATCAATCAGTCAGCGACTTCCGTCACGGCTCGGAAGTGGCGGTGTCTGGCATTGTGCTGTTGAATCCTCGACCACCGGCCAAAACTGCAGACACGCCACATACAACCGCATGGAGCCATCGCACTTTTGCGTCCCTTTGTGTTGTGTCCCATACCTCCATGCCGGGCCCATGTGCCCCCAATCGAGGGCGTCTTCTTTGCACAATGTTGACGACGCAGTCGGTGTGCCCCATAGTGTCCCTCATGGCGAAATTTCATGGCGAATCTCGCCATAATTCGCAAACTGCCACCATTCGTAACACCTCCCCCTCAACTGCCACACACACCCAACGGCGCACACATGCATGAGTCAATCCCAACCTCCTTCCCTCCCTCTGCACACTTACATTTGAACGGCTTCCTCGGGTGGATAGAGGCCCTTGCGTCACCATCACGCTGCTAGCAGGTTGAACTTGTAGGCAGATCCTCGGGACCGCCAGAATCGTCCTCAAGTCGCCAGATTCGTGACGACTGAAACACGTACACGGACACCAACAGGCAAGTCAAGAAGTGGCAGGTGTGTGGCTGCGGGACGGCAAGGCTGCCATGCAAGGCTCACCCCAGTGCGGTCTCCTGTAAGATCACCGCTGCTACATTCTGAGTATACCACCGTAATCCAGTGTGTGTTGTCACATACTCTGAAGTCAGCGCCAGTCTCTTGGAAGTCACCGAGGTGCCAGGACGACAAGTCCTGCGTGGTGGCGGGAAAAGAGGAGGGTCAAGAGAACAAGCGAAAACTTAACGAACGGGAGGGACGCAGCAACCTAAACCCTACAGGGTTTGAAACCTCTAGGATCGCATCATAGCTCGCTTTTGCGAGGTTTGCGGCCGCTTCCTTTCCACCCTCTGCTCTCCCCAGCGGTCAGAGATCCACAGCTAGGTGGACAACAACCTTCATCAGAATCCCCCAGTGGACGAGCACAGCGTGTGGCGACCTCCCCCATCTCTCTCAAGCGTGATGGCGTCGAATTACGAAAACGCCACAACGTTCTCGTCTGACGTGAGTGCGGGCGTAGCTTGCTCGATGGTGTCCACCCTCCCCAGCGGGAGCCAGCCGATGATCCTCACTAGTGGACAGGCGGGGGATAGGCACGACAACAAGAAGCTGGATGACAAGGGCGTGAATGCCAACTCCGAGAAGCAGACCATTACGCTGCGGACGGAGGGCTTCCTCCAGACACTCGAGGAGAAGCCGACCCCCACCAAGCCGCACCAATTTGTCGCAGACTGCGCGAAGGAATCGGTGAGGAGCAGGGGACGTGCGGGGCGGACGGGGGGTGGCCCGTCGGTGATGTGTGTGTGTGTGTGCTCTCAGATCAAGGAGGCGACTGTGAAGCGGTTCCTTCCTATAGTAGGGTTTGTGACCAAATATAAGACGAGCTTCCTCAGCGATGACATCACGGCAGGTGGGATTCACAGATCAGGCGAACACACAGGATCACAACAGAAAGGAAGACATTGCTTTCGTGTGTGCCTGGTTGATGAATGTGACACAGGTATTGCTGAGGGCATCATGGCCATCCCTATGGGCATGTCGTACTCGCTGCTGGCCAACTTGCCGCCGGTGTACGGCCTCTACAACCAGCTGTTTCTCCCCCTCATCTACATGCTCTTCGGCACATTCCACCACGCGTCCATCGGGACCTCAGCCATCGAAGCCATCTTATGCGCTGAGGCCGTCGCAAATGTCATTGGGTGAGTCGATTGACGCCACACAACCGACCCATCAGCACAGAAACAGAACCAACACCTCTGTTTGTGTGTTCGTGTCATCCATCATCAGTTGGGACGCCCCGCTTACGGAGCGGGTGCCTGTGACGATCAGTTTGGCGGTGTGTGTGGGTGCGACTCACATGGTGCTGCGGCTGATGCGTGTGGGTGTGGTGGTGGACTTTATCGCTGACCCCGTCCTGGCGGGATTTTCCACCGGTAAGGGGGTCAGTCACGACGATCGATTAGCATGTCACGCGTGTGGGTGTGCGTTTTGCGTGCAGGCGCAGCGTTTCTGATCGCGACGTCTCAGCTGAAGGATCTGTTTGGGTTTCCGGTGCCGCGGACGGACTTTGAGGCCGAGCAGTGGTGGCACATCCTCACCAACCTCCCGCAGACCAACTGGACCGCATTCACCATGTGTAAGCCACCTCCCCCTCAACCTGTCTCCCCGCCCCAAGCACCACAACACGGCACACACCCCATCCATGCACATCGATGGCTCACTGTCACTGTGAGTTGTCCGCTTTGTGTGTGGTTCAGGTGTGAGTGGGCTGATCATTCTCTTTCTCGTCAAGTGGGTCAACGCCCGCTACTTCAAGAAGTTCCCCTTGCCCGGGCAGCTGATTGTCATGGTACTCTTCACCTTGCTCACCTGGCTCTTCCAGCTCAACGAGGCCCCGTTCAACCTCAGGATCCTACGCGAGATACCCCAGGGCTTCCCCGTCCCCGATGTGCCGCACTTCCAGGGCCACTTTGTGCAGCTGTTTCGGCAGGCCATCCCATTGGCTGTCATGGTTTACGTCATACACATTTCCGTCGCCAAGACAGTCGGCAAGAAACACGGGTACGCGCACGAGAAGCCAGGGCAGCATTGTGTGGAAGAGATCGCAGATTCTTGTGTTGTATGGTGTGTCATTGTTCGTGTCTGCAGGTACCGCATTGATGCTGAGCAGGAGCTGGTGGCGTACGGCATGACCAATCTAGTAGGGTCCATGTTTCAGTGCTTCCCGGCGGGCAACGCCGTGTCTCGCGTGGGAGTAGTCTCGTCCGTGGGCGCCAAGACCATCCTGCACACCTTGCCCAACGTCGCTGTGGTGGCTCTCACGCTCTCTCTCATCACGCCGCTGCTCTTCTACCTGCCCTATGCTGCACTCGCATCCGTCGTCTTCTTTGGCACCTACGGTGAGCAGCGAATTCAGCCAAGACGCGGGTGGCCAGCACAGTCCATCAATTTGCGTCTCTCTCCTGTCAGGCATGATCAATTTCCAGGAGGGACGTCGTCTGTGGAAGTTCAAGAACCCCGACTTCTACCTCTGGGCCACGTGCCTCCTCGTCACCGCCACACTCGGCGCGATGGAGGGCATCATCGTCGCCGTCGTCCTCTCTCTCATCTGGCTCCTCGGCAAGAGCGCCAGGCCAAACGCTACTGTACTCGGACGCCTTCCTGGCACTTCCAGCTACCATGAGGTGCGCGAGCAAAGACAGCAACGCACGGTGCTTGTTGTTCTCCCATCAAATACAGCGACACACGTTGGTTGTTGTTGTTCTCTCATCAGATTCACCGGTTCCCCACTGCGCGTGAGATCCCCGGTGTAAAGATCTTCCGCTTCGACGCCGACCTCAACTTTTCTAATGCGGAGTTCTTCGAGAGCAAGGTGCTGAGCGTGATCAAGCCCTCGGGCAGCAAACCGGACCGCGTCGACGAGGAGGAAGGTGGCGACGGGGAGGTGCCCACGCAAACGGTCATTGTGGACTGCAGCGGCATCAACTCCCTGGACGTCACGTCCATTGGCATGCTTGAGCGACTGGCTCAATGGTTCCAGGAGCAGAAGCTCGACTTACTCTTCGCTAACTGGAAGGGACCGATGAGAGACTTCCTGGGTACGTTGACGAGCCGAATGCACATGCATTGTCCATGATGTCCTCCATGATGATTGTGTGCGTGTCGTTCGTTGCTCAGACCGTGCCGAGTTCTTCAAGGTGGTGCCGGCCGACCACTGCTTCCTCTCACTGCATGACGCCGTCATCTACTCAGCCGTGCGCCACACCGCCCACAAGCACGCCAAGATCGAGATTGACAGCTCCGCAGAGGCCCATCTACACATCCTCTCGCCCCACCCCTCGCCCCGCGCCTCGGCCCGCCGCCTCTCGAGCGTCGACTCCAAGAGCGACGCCGCACTCGATGAGCCCGACAGTGAAATGGTTGTCGAGGGCCCGACAGACGCCGAGAAGACAAGCGAGGCGTCGAGGCCGGACTCGCCCCATCCGCTCAACGTCGTCGGTCGGCAGATGGATGCCGACCGGCAGTCTTCGGGCGCTGTGGGTGCGCTGTTGTGGGGTGTGCACATGGACGACGACGAGGAGGCGGGCGTGCTGTGGGACGGCCATATGGAATGGGCACAGAACGTCAGGGAGGTTAACCAGGCGGGGACCGAGAAGACCTGGGGTATCGTCAGCATGACGCACCCGTGAGACAATGAGGCCCATATGGGTGGGTGGTGCGGTGGTTGTGTTGCATGTCGCATGGTATCGCATTTATTCTCACTTGTCTCTCTGCACGTGCCGTCCACTGACATGTGTTTTCTCCACCTAGCCCGCTTGTAGGCGCTGGTACTGCTCACCTATCTACCACTCGAATGGCACCTCGTTCACGTGTCGTTCGATTAGTGCCGTAGGTCCGTTTGTATGGAGAAGTTGGGGGGCTTTTTCTCTCTGGTCGCCTTTTGTTTGTCTTCTCGTTCGTTGTGTGATGTGTGCTTGTGTGTGTGCCTGCAATTGTGTGTATAGTGAGCTGGCTTGCCTGCCGTGCTGTATGTGCGTGTGATGCGTCCGTCTGCACTAGATGCTCGACTGGCGTCCGTCTGGTGTGGTGGGTGGGTCCTGTCCTCTGCCTGTCAGTGTATTTATTGTCTTATGTGAGTGAGTGACCATTGTGCGACTGACTCAATCGTGTGGATAACACCGTGGGGCCGGCCGGTCCATTCGTGGGTTGCGTGTGCGTGCTCGTGTTGCCTGGACTCAGTCTGAGAGAAGCACAGATGCCACTCCAACAAACAGACCTTCAATCATTCTGTTCAAACTTAGAGACGTGAAGAATGGCGTACATGACATGTCTCGCGCTATCTTCCCGTCAGCGACGACTGGGCGTGTGCAGCACCCAATGACAGGCACCCAATAGTCAGTCACACGTCTGTCTGTCTGTCTGTCTGTCTGTCTTCGTGGCTGTCAGGGTACACACATTGTCATTTACTCAACACACATAGACACAGCGAGGCAGACAGGCAGGTAGGCAGCTCCAGGTTGGAAAGAAAAAATAACAAGTGTCGGGCCTTCCCACACACAAACGCACATACACAGTCATGCACACAGGGACCTATGCAGTAGGGCAGGATACCGACACACACATTTGACGATCAGGTCTAAGATCCCTCCTGTCGAGTTGCCGGCTGACCACAGCTCTTCATTCGTTCAGCCATCATCTATTCACAGCAAATTGAGCGGTTCTGTGGGATTCCCGCGGTGCGGCTTAGGCAAATCCCTCCGTAAAACCCCGCCGCGAGGGAGGGAGGGAGGGAGGGAGGGAGGGAGAAATGGTTTGAAATGGTTGTCCCCTCTCCATCTATCCCTCCCTCCATCCATCTATATCTCTTCTCCCGTCCTCCAAAATCATCCCCTGCTTTGACTCTGAGCGACTCCTGCCTCGACTCTCTTCATCTATCAACAGCCGCCTACTTGCAATTGCCCGCGTCCATGGCTCTCTTCTCGCGCCTAACGCTCTTAGCCCTCGCCGCTCTCCTGGTGGCGGCGTGGATGCCCTCTGCCACCATGGCCAGCACAGCTGCTGCTCCCACTGCACGTCCTCTTGATGAAGCTGAAAATGGCCTGACGACTCTGGACGAGCTCGAGGTGCCTGACGAGGACGAAGAGGAAACGTTCGATGCCGACGAATACGAGGATGATGAGAACGAGGATGAGGACGAGACTGACGACGACGAGCTCGATGAGGACGAAGATGAGGATGAGGATGGGCCTCTGACGTCGGGCAACCTGACGTCTGGCAACCTGCGTGCCCTGCGTAAGCAACCGACCACATGCAATGCACCTATCCACGGCTGCCGGATGGCCATCACCCCTGCCCTTCCCTTTGTGTTGTGTGGCGTGGTGTGCAGGCGCCCGTCCCAGTTACTGCTCATACTGTGGCCCTGGCTACCACTGCGGGGGCGGAGGATGTAAGGAATGAGACAGACAGAGATGCACACCGGTCGCACTCGTCACTGTGTGTGTGCTTTCAGGCATTCCCGACTGCCCAAGGTGCCCACCTGGCTACCGCTGCTGGCGCGGCCGATGTAGGGAATGAGACAGACAGAGATACACACCGGGCGCTCGTCAACGTATGTGTGCTTTCAGGCATTCCCGACTGCCCAGTGTGCCCACCTGGCTGCCGCTGCATTCGCGGCCAATGTAAGGAATGAGACAGACAGAGATACACCGGGCGCTCGTCAACGTATGTGTGCTTTCAGGCGTTCCCATCTGCCCAGTGTGCCCACCTGGCTACCGCTGCATTCGCGGCCAATGTAAGGAAGGAGACAGACAGAGATACACCCCGGTTGCTCGTCAACGTATGTGTGCTTTCAGGCATTCGAATCTGCCCAGTGTGCCCACCTGGCTACCGTTGCTGGCGCGGCCAATGTAAGGAATGAGACAGACAGAGATACACCCCGGTTGCTCGTCAACGTATGTGTGCTTTCAGGCATTCGAATCTGCCCAGTGTGCCCACCTGGCTACCGTTGCTGGCGCGGCCAATGTAAGGAATGAGACAGACAGAGATACACACCGGGCGCTCGTCAATGTATGTGTGCTTTCAGGCATTCGGGTCTGCCACTGCCCGCATGGCTGGGGCTGCAGACGCGGCAGTTGTAAGTGACGAGACAGACAGCGGTGTCGTAGCCACGGGGTAGTCAGTCAGACGACGAGTCGACGTGTTGCTGCGTGTTGCTTTCAGGCTATCCCCCTACCTGCCCCCCTGGCCACGACTTCTTCAACGGCGGTTGTAAGTGATGAGACCACACAGAAAGACAGCCAGACAGACAGACACTACACAAAAACGACGTGACACGTCAACACATGTGCCCACCGCAAATCCCTGTGATGCTTGTGTCTTTCAGGCCAGAGACGCTGACTGCACTCGTCTGCCGCCGTGATGCGTGCGCCGCTATTCTTTGATTAAGTCTACGGATGTGTGACCCACTGTTCTTTTATTAAGTCCATAAATGGATACATGTGCGCGCGTGTTGCGTGTTGCGTGTGCATGTGTGTGTAAAAAGAGAGCTGGCCTGCCTCTGTACGTGTTGTGCGTCTGCACTGCATAGTCTGTTGGCGTCTGGAGCGGTGTGTGCTGTCAATTGCCTGTCAGTGTACTGGGTTATGTGTTGACTTTGCCATGGAAATAGACACGCGGGTGGGGGAGGGGGGAAGGGAACAGGGGCTGGGGAACACCGGGTTCATATCATGGGTGTGGTGTGCTTGTGTGCTGTCTGGACTGAGAGAGGGGTGGATGTTGCCTGATGTGGGTGTGGGTGTGGATGCGGTGGGCATGGCATCCTGGCCATCACATGCATACCCACACATTCGTCACATACGGTCATTTGTCTGTCACTCACGTGTGTGTTGGTAGTGCCCTGTGTGTATGTCTGTCTGTCTGTCTGTCTGCAAAGTTCGCAGTGCACCTGTGCCCTTTGTTGTACATTCGTAGTGGATTTGTTGCGTGTGGGAGGGCCGTAGTGAGTTTCTCTTCATCGCATGACTGACACGCTGGGGGGACACCTGGGGGACACGAAGGAACGGACACTTACCATGAATCGTCACCACAAACACCTGACGGCCTCGATTGCCACGTGAATCTGTGAACCGACAAAAGCTCAACAAAGTGTCCCTCACCCCATCTCTCCCGTCCCAGCCCCTGCCCTCCCCTGCACAAAGAAAGAGCGAGCGAAACACACATCGGCCAAGGGAACGCACAGGTGCCTGATTCCATGGTGTGAGACAGTGGTGGAGCACCTGTGCTCTCCTCAGAGCACTGGAAGCATTTGCAGTGAAACAGCGAGTCAATAACCATGATCAGACAAGCAGGCGGCTGCCCGGCCTTCCTCTCCCTCTCCTCTCGAGCTCTTTTTAGCCTTGCATTGCATCACTCATTCGCCATTGAATCACTCATTCGCCTCGCCCAAGCCTTGCTCTCCTCATCCTCGCCGCCGGCCGGGTTGCCTTTTTTTTTTCTCTTTTTTCCGGCCCAAGCTCAACCGTGTGAAACACGGGTCGGATAAATGGGAAACGGATAAATGGAAAAAATGCTCAAATGGGAGCCGTGTCCCACTTATCCGACCCTCACAGTTCCGACCCTCACAGTAAGCCCGATCGATCACACTGCAGGGCCCCCTTTTTAATACAGTGGGTTCATACATCTTTTTAATTGATGTCCCACAGTAATAATGACACCAGTCTCGACGGTGGAAATGCCAACGAGGGATGAACGAGTGTTTGACAGCACCGAATGACAAAGGCATTCGTTCAATCAGTAACGCAGCTGTCTGTCTTCCTGTCAGTCTGTCAGGCTACACACGCTCTCATTTACTCAAGACACATAGACACAGCGAGGCAAGCAGGGAGGTCAGAAAGAAAGATCACAGATAGGTGACAGGCAGGCTCGACTCGCCGACACACATACGCGCGCACACAGAGAGAGCCGACATACGGCGCCCGATGTCGGGCAGACAGACAGACAAGCACCAGCGGATGAGTCGAAACAATCATGATCACTCACTCACTTGAACAAATAAACAAGCAAACAAACAAACAAACAAACACACTGACACACACACGGATAGAGAGACACAGAGACAGAGCAAGGGCGCAGATACACACTCCCGTCACACACGGCGGACACACACACCACAACAAATTGAGCGGATCGGTTGGATTCCCGCTTATGTATACTATGTCTGTACATAACTGTCCTGCCGAAAAACGCTAACTGCTTCACGGCCAGCGCGCCGGACGGCCTGGTTTTTGGCGAGGAGACGAATCATTCACTTCCTGACATTTAAAGCGTAGGGATTTTTGAGAGAATGTCTCGGTGTCGCTGTAGGGCTTGACGCATCCTGCGTATGCATATATGAGCCGGCTGCACATTTCGTCAAGCCCTACAGCGACACCGAGACATTCTCTCAAAAATCCCTACGCTTTAAATGTCAGGAAGTGAATGATTCGTCTCCTCGCCAAAAACCAGGCCGTCCGGCGCGCTGGCCCCCCAGTAGAGCATGGTCACGTATAACTACTCCTCTGTCCCTCACCCCAATGTAGCCCTCGGGCACATCGTCTGCATCGGTGGACTGACGGCATCCGAGGATGTCGTCAGTGCTCAACGGCCAACAACCGCCCGACGATGACCTGCCCAACGACAGGTCCCTGCCGACAGCCATTCTCGCATTATAACGAGGCACAAGCCCCCCAGAACACGGAGCCATCGGTCCCCCCAAATCTGAGACGCCACTAGGACATCCTGGCTCTTTCGATCGATCTCTATCTTGGTCGCATTCTCGTAGTGGCCCGCCAGGGAGAAGAACCACACGTCACTGTCGTACCCGTGCCACCTCGGCATCATGCCGGTGCCATCGAAGGCGGGCAGCCTGATGCTCTCACTGATGAAGGCGCCGAACACGTACTGGGCGTTGCGGATGACAATCACCACGTTGGGCTTGTTCTCAACACAAGTCAGCATATCGCCATATCGAGTACCGTCCCAAGGGGACCTGCATAACACACACACAGAGGACAGACAGTCGCTGCGGATGCTCTCGTGCGCACGCACAAGTATGCCTGCATGTGTGAGTAAGCGAACCTGTAGAGCATTGTGAGTGTTGTGTCATTGCCCAGCAGATGCAGACGACGGACCTGCACACAAAGCAAAGCAACAGACAGACAGACAGACAGGCTGATGATACGTGTGTGTGCGTGTGGTACAGACATACATGCTACCACACCGGTGTTGTGTCTGTGGGCGACGTGAAGGCATCGCAGAGAGACAGCCAGCATCATGCCACGCAGAGTGTGACGGTGAAGGCCAGCAGCATCATGCCACGCAGAGCCACCATTGTGCGCACGTGGAGGGAACGAGGACACTGACAGAGATCTGGCCGCGACACCGGAAGACTATAAAAGGCACGCGGACGAGGGAAGGATAAGATTTGCGGACCGATGCTGCGTCCTCACTCCGGTCCCTAACCCACGGCGAGAAACCTATCGAGTCTATCCCTCTAGTAAGATCTCGTCCTCGTCTCACCTTATCGGCTGGCAAGCGGCCTCTGACTGACCCCAACAAACATCGCTCTCTGTCCTCCTCTTCACCTCTCTGTCCAGTCCTCTTCCCTCATCTCTTCCCCTTCCCCGGATGGCGACTGTTCTCATGATGATGATTCTCTGTGTGGTGTCGACCATGGTCGGCACAGAGGCAAGACCCGCACAACAGGTATGTCACACACACACACACCGTGACCTATCCACCCACTCATCTAATGCTCTGGTGTCAATGGCTACCTTTGTTCTGTTCAGGTCCGTTTGCGCGGCCTGCAGGTGTCCCCTCCTGGCAACACGTCGCTGTCTGCGTCAGAATATGAGGCGCTGCTCGCTTCGATGGGGGGCGACACCACTACACAAGTCACCTCACTCTACCGGTAGACACACACGTCATGCCAACAGGCTGGGATCATCTGACAGGTAATAAGCACATTCCATCTGTGTGTGCGTGCTGAAGGACGTCTGTGGACGGCACCACCTATGGCGACCTGCTGGACAATGTGGGCGACGCGAAGCCTCTCGTGGTGGTGGTCAGGAAGGACAAGTATGTCTTCGGCGTCTACGTCAGTGCCGGCATCCAGCTGCCCGACGACCCGACCAGCGAGCATTGGTACGGCAGTGATGTGTGGTGGTTCTCACTGGCCGGCCACTTCCCCCAACCGACCAAAATAGACATACCACCATGGGAGCAGTGGATGCGGGTGGCGGGGAGGAAGGCGAATGCAGTGGAGGCGAATATGTACATCGGTAGGTATCTGGTGTTAGGTGAGCAGCGAGGCTGGCCAGCCGCCGGCATCCGCAGCTGTGAACAGTACACCGACAGCGACTATCTGCCTGAGGGCTACACGGGAGTGAGGGGTGAGTTTGCCGATGCTCTGATGGGCGGGTCTCGTAACTTTATGGCCGATGAAATAGAGGTGCTGCGTGTGGTGCAGTAGTCAAGGGACGCAGGAAGGGAGGAGGGAGATGTGCGTTGCCCTCTATGGTGCTGTGTACTGACATAAATAGGTGCCATCCATTTGTCTGTGCCTCCTCTCTGCGCCCTCGTCTGTCTGTCTGTCTGCCTCCACGCCTGAGTGCAGCTGATCTGCCAGCACACTGCTGGTGCCCCTGTGTGTGTGTATTGGTGTGTTTGTTTGTTGAAGTGAGTGTGTGTGCGGTGGCTGGACTGACTGTAATGACTACGTGGCTGTGGCTGCGTGCGTGTTTGCCGTCCCTGCCCTGATGTGTTTCTGCGAATGTGTGTGTGCACGAATGACAGCTTCCATGCTCTCAACCAACCTATGCATGTACATGCATGACAGAGTCCCTCCGGGGTTGCAGACACGAGTCTCGTGAGACACAATAACCAATCAACCATCTCAGATATATAGCCCTTTGCTGTACATACGTGTCGGCAGGTCCAGTGGTTTGATCCGTGTCTCCACAGCGTACTGTATTATTCTCTGCTTGCTTGTCTGCTCTGCCGCCCTTCTTGTCTCTGACGTGTCATGCATGTCCAGCCCACATCAGAGCTGTTGTGACCGACCGATGGACAATGGACACTCACGGCTGACTGACACAGATGCGATGTGCGGATGTTTAGCTGATGTGATCAAAAACACCTCTAACATGAAGCTGTAGGCTGCCCTAGGCGGTGTAGTTGTGTTCCCGCGTGTCTCTGTCATTTCACGATGTGTGACGTGACAGTGTCTGTCTGTCTCTGTGTCTGGGTTGCCGGTGTATTGCAATCCTCTCCACACGTTCGTTCATCGAATGATTCTAGACACCACACCACACCACACCATGCCACACGACACCATGTGTCACACAGTGGCGGATGGATCACACAGTAAGTAACTAACTGGTTGATGCAATCAATGTCGTGTCGCGTGATTTGAGTCTGACTTGCTCGCCGACACAGTTTGTTCATTCATCGCCGTTGCAACATCTCATCTGTCAGTCAATGCATCAATCCTCCTCAAAGAAAATGTCCCTCCCCCTCCCTCCCCATGAACTATATATGATACACACCGCACCCACTCATCAAGTCTTTTCACCAAAGAAAGAAAAGGCATGATTTAATTTGCGGATGGCTGAATGCAATGCATTTAGCCGCCCGATCGCCCGACCGACCGACCACTCAGTCAGTCAGTCGCCTCCTTTTGGCGCGGCGCACTTTTCTGCTCAGCTCATTGGGCGGAGGGGGCGCATCACTCACAGCCACACACATCAAATCACGCGCACTGAGCTCTCACAACACGTCACACGAAGACATACAGACCGACCAACACCACACACACACACACACACGTTCGTCGTACCAACTATTGGATGGCCAAGATCAGGCTAACACGCAATGCCAAACCCCACTCGACAACCGCCGAGGGAGCGCATCAGTGCAAAGCGCAAGAAGTCACTTGCCACAAACAAATCACAGACAAAGTACAGACACTACTGGCAGTCCTCATGAACCACCCGTCGCCAACCCCCCCCCCCCC